ATATGTTGTGTATTAGTCTAGCTTGAAAGGGCTTAAAAATGTGCAATTTCAAAATTGTCAAAGTAAAGGCAATTACCATATACAGTAGCAAAACGTATTTAAAAGTAGGAATTCATTATAGGGTGCTATCATTTCTCTATATTTGATATGTAGGGGAGATTTCTTAAACAAAATTATGGTATAGTTAGTTCAAAGCATAGGCTACTATAAAGTAAAACAACTAGGTTACTCTGGGGTAAAAAGGGAAGTCCAATTTCTCAATTCAACAGATACTGATTAAAAACATATTCTTACAACTACATAGCTAAAGCCAAACATGAAGGAAAGTGATGTTTTTAAATAATCAAATAAAAAATAGGAATGTCAGCCAATGTTGACGCAGGTATCAGAAAATTCTGGCACTGGTATTTCCATCATTATCCAAGGGTAGCTAACAGAGAGTTCACCCTCCTAATTTGCCCCAGAAGGCAGATTCTTCTGCCCTGCAGAGCTAGAATTGAAGAATAAGAGAAAATAATTTTGGGTTTATAGAGCATTTAAACAACTCAAATGCCTTCACAATTATCGGCAAATTTAATCTGTGAATAACCCAAGTAGATAAGAAAGGATTTATCTTCTAATTCAGCATTTCCCAAAGTATAATCCATTGCATGGTGGTCCCTTCAGGACTCTATTCAGGAGTTGAATAGGGGTTAGGCCAATATTTCCAAAGACACTGCATTCCATGTATATTTCCTCTCTTGGGTATTTGATATTAAAAGTTTAGAAAATTACTGCAGTCAATTCAACCATTTCTCCTTAACCTAGCATAGCCCAAAATCTAAAACTCATATCCCTTTAAAACATTGAAAGGACACCAAATTATTGTATCTTCTCCTACCTCACTGGTCTCTTCTTCTCGGGCTCTTACTGATTCCTTCTCTCCTAGACCCCTAACTTGGAGTGCCCCAGAATTCAGTCTTTTTTCCTGTTTCTTCTCTATCGATCCTCTCTCACTTGGTAACATACTACAGCCAAATAATTTTAAATACCATCTCATGCCTACAGTTCTCAAATGCATACTCCAATTCAAATCAGACTCCTGAATTCCAGGCCCAAATACTTGTTTTTATGGAAAGACAAACTGAAGTCTTATTCTTCCGTGTCAAAGCTGTTTTATGTGTAGTCTATTCATGCATTTGAAACAAATTCCATTCTTCTAATGCACCTTCTTAAAACTGTAAAGGCATCCTGACTCTTCTCTCTTACACTCCACATTTAATCCACAAGAAATCTCGTGGGCTCAGCCTTCAGAATATATCTAGAAGCTAAAAAGTTCTTGCCATTTCCGTGCTATTAGCCTTGCTCAAACCATCATTTTCTATTGCCTGGGTTAGCATTCTTCCATCTTTGCTCCCCTTAAGTATATTCTCAATACAGTTAGAGTGATCCATTTAAATCAAAAGTCAGAGCATGTTATTCCTCTATTATAATCCCTCAACCCAATGCCTCCCCGTTCCTTACAGAGAAAAGACAAAATCTTAAGGCCCTGAGATATGTTCTCCATTACTTCTCTAATCTGATTCTCTATAGTCTTACCTTCCCCTCCAGTCAGACCTCCTTACTATACCTTGAACAGTCTAAACATATTCCTGTCTCATAATCTTTGCAACTGAATATAACCTGTGACTGGAATGTTCTTTGCCCAGAAAGTAAGAAGCTTATCAGCTCCCTGTTTCAAGTCTTTGTTCAAATGTCACATTCTCAATAATGCTTACACTGACTTGCATTTAAAATTATGTCCCAAACTCTGACTCTCTAGATCCCTAACCCTCTACCCTGCTCTGTTTCTACTCCTTGGCATTTATTATCTTCCATTATAAATACATAGTTATTTACTAATTGCCACTTACAACAGAATGGTATCTCTGAGAGAGATTGTTTTCATTAGTTTTATTCACTGATGTATCCACAGCATCTAGAAATGAGCACAGAGTAGGTGCTCAAAATATACTTCTTGAATAAATAAATGGCACATACTTATTCACAGACAATAGAGAATTACTGTGTGATACTTAACATTTATCATTTTCTCCTTTGTATTTTGGCCAAAATTAGACATGGTGAAAAAAGATAACATTAGAAGCATGACTCTTCCTGAACAAGATGATTATATTATCTGCTACCATAATTTTTTAAAGATTTCTTTAAATTAAAAGATGGGCTTTAATTTTTATCAAATTATATTGCCAAAATAAACATCAATATATCTACTAATATAACCTGACTATAAGATCCTAACCCTGATTACACATCTAAATCACCTTGGAATTTTTATAAGAATACACAATCCAGGGCTCATGTCTTTTCAGTGGTACATTCCCAAAGGCATTCTTCCATAGAAGCATTCACCACTGAAGAGTGTGTGTTCAGTCAACAATGCCATTAAGATCTTGTGGAATACTTAATTGTCTCTCTTACTCCTACATAATATTTAAGCTGGTTTTCACTATTTTCCATGATGTCATAGTTTAATTTTTAGTTCTTTCAATTCTTCCAATATTCAACTAAATTTCTCTTGTTGAAATTTGATAACACTTAACATAGATAAAACTTATAAGGAGGAGATATCAATAGAACTGCTTATGTTAATTTCAGACTTTTCTTAAAATATCATTGATAAAATAATGCTTGATTATGCAAAAAGTTCACTTATATAGGTGGGAGTGTTAAGTTTTAAGAACTATGTATGCAAATATTTCTAATTGTTTTATAAAATACTCCGTAAAAATCACATAATTGGCATCAATTTGGGAAATGACTGATTTATAAAATGTTACTTTATTACTTTAAACTACATATAATATTCCTTTGTAAATTACTTAAAGAATTATTAAAGTCATTGCTTCAATGAATAGTTGATGCATTTATAATTAGTATTTCAACTATTTAAAATAAATTGGGTAAAGTGAAATATATGCCATCACTTTGTAAATATTTACAAGGTATTATCATTATTGAATAAATGGTTACAAGAGAAAATGTGGAAGTGGCAGGAAGTATATACCATTTGAAAGGTACACAGTTTAAACTGTATACAGTTTAAACTGTATTATACATTCTCTCTGAAACATTATTTATTCATTTGTTTAAAAACCTTCTCTTCAATGATTATGAAAAATTAAAAAGTCCAAATGATCATCAGTTCTTTATAAATAAGAATTAATGAACTAGTGTATTTTAAATGTCAAAATCAAGTTTTGTTTTGTTTTTGTTTTTTATCCTCACCCGAGGATATTTTTCCATTTTTTGTACAGATAGAAGGGGAGGGAGAGAGAGTGAGAAACATCGACGTGAAGGGACACATCGAGTGGCTGCCACCCGCACGACCAACCAGGGCCGGGGACAAACTGCAACCGAAGTACGTGCCCTTAGCGGGAACCGAACCCGGGTCTCTCCGGACCGCAGGCTGACGCTCTAACCGCTGAGCCAAACTGGCCAGGGCCAAAATCAAGTTTTTAATTATAGTTATCAAATGGGAATATGCTACATCTAGAGACTTGAATAACTGTCTTTTTTCTATCATATTAATAACACCAACAGGGGGTCATAAGCACACAGAATTACATAAAATAAGTTAGATGGCCAGTTTTACCTATCTGCCACTAAATCAAGGTGTGAAGTAACCAATTTGACACCTACATGGAGACAAGGAAATATTATAAACCACACACAGAGAACAAAACATTTACTAGCTAAGGTTTTCAAAAACCAAGTAAAAGAAAAAACATCAGAAGTTCCTCTGAAAGAATGCATACGCCACGTAGTCATCACAAATCATAAAGCAAGAAAGTGGATATAGAACGGTGCTTTGTATCTGATAGGACAGGAAAAGAGAACAAAGAATTATAATTCATGATTCACAATATAATGTGCAGATCAGTATGGCTCAATTAATAACAAAAATAGCAATAACCATAATATTTTAAATACTTCATATTCATTTCCCACATTTATCACATTTTCAAATGTAGCGTTGTTGTTTTTCCTGAGACATCTGAATCTGTTTAACAATCAAATTGTACTATTCAGAACCACATAAACTAAAAAACTAAAAATTACTAAAATTTTAGCTATAGCATCATTATCTACGATGGTTCTTTATATAGACTGCATCCAGCTACCCACAGAAAAAGCCAAGACAGCTCAGGCTTTTTCAACCTTGGCACTATTGACATTTTCGGTTAATTTGTTGTTGGGAGTGTGAAGGAGGGGCTGTCCTGTGCATTATAGGATGTTTAGCAGTGTCAACAGACTCTACCCACTAGATACCAATAGCAATTACAAACTGAAAATCAAATTCAATTTTAAAAAATACATACATGTATGTCTGGAAGCATTGCCAAATGTCTCCTGGGGGAAGGGAGAGGAGAAAAATTATCCCTTAGTTCATGAGAACCACCAACATAAGATGAAAGGAAGAAAGGAATGAAGGAATAAAGGGAGACAGGGGATGTATTCTTAAACAGTTAACAAAACTATATAAAATAAGTTTAATTTCAGTTGGTGAATTCAAATGTGTTTATTGCAGTTTAAGGATATTTGTAAGAAAAAAAATTGTACTGTGAAAACAATAAACATGTCTTAGGTAAATAAGATTGATTCTATGGTTTTTAAGAAGAAGAAAATAAATAGCTTTCTCCTTATTTCCTACTTCTGTCTTAAGAATAACACCCTACCTTCCTGCTGTCTCCCAGGAATAAACAATTGCAATCTTTCTTTTCAGTTTTGAAGATAAGAGAAGAGCTTTTTCCTCTGACTCTACAGGTAGTTCCTGAAAGTGCTCTCCAGGTGACCTGAAGGTGACTGACAAGTTTATTTTGCATTTACAAACAAGTTTAATAGGACTTGCATATTAACAAGAGTAATAATTTGTTAAAGAAACCACAATCAACTTTGTATTAACTTATTACCTATATACCACTCTTTCAGGTTTCTTGTTTGATCACTCTTTGGCTTACCATAGATGTAACTGATCGTGCATCTTCCTCATAGTTTATTATCGGAGGTGGCTCTTTTCCATCATTTTCTTGCATTTTTTGCTCTAGTAATTCTTTCTGTGCTGCAAACTTTGCCTCGGTGCACCTCAGCTGCTGCACTGACTGTTTCAGCTCTTCGAGTGTCTGTTTTTGGCTTATCAGAAGCACAATACTAAAAAAGAACACAGTAAATATTAACTATTTGACTTATTGAACAAATACAGACTTTACAGAAACCTATATATATATGATTCTGTTTTCATCATTATGAGTCCAATAGAATCAGAAGAATTAGGAAACTAAACAGATTTAAGTCATCACAGTAGTTATTAAAAGGTAGCATTAACAAAATGAAAGAAAATGTTTGGAAGCAAAATCCAAATTTGAGATGCTTTCAAATATATTACAATCTATGGCATTCATTTTACTTTACAGCTAAACTATCTACCTCGCATGGTAGACACTTAAGTCCAGAAGCGTAGGGCCTAAAATGAATTAATGTGAGTGAAGCAGAATCTTAAATTTATTTCATATCTCAAATGGAATACAGCTAGAGTCAAATCTGTGCCTAGAGTAAAATAAATCAAATCAAGGTGACAGTCTCAGACCAAGTTGTTTGTACGTTGGGAAGGGCATGTGTTTAGAGTTGGAGAAAGCTGTTCTAACTACGACTGAGGGCTGAACTGTAATTAAGGGAATGAGTGTAAGTCCCCAAATCTTTCCAACGTCATCACTATAAAAACAACAGACTTTCCAATCCCTCTTTTAGAGAAATACACAGGCCACAGGTTGCCTTATTGTGACTTTTTACCCCTTCGAGGCTGCCCCCAGTGGAAATTCCAAACTAACTCATCCACATTTAAGCCACACATTAAAAAAAAAAACATGTCACAGTGGTGGGGAACACCTCTAGAAACACTGTCATACATAGTATATTAATATCTTAAAAGAACTATGCCATGAACTACTGAAGTAAGTAATTTATATGTAAGAGAGAATAGCTCACCAATAGAGGGAATTTCAAAGTTGGAGAATAAGGTCAGAATGTTACCTTCTTAAACTGAAACTTAAAAGGATCAACACAAACTGTGTAAATAACTGTAAGCAGAAGGAATCCCACTAACAGAGATTTATTTATAAGTAAGATGCTGGTTGATTTCTGAAACTCAATTCCAATCAAATTGAGTAGAACGCAACCTCAGTGGATGCTATAAGCAGGGGTAGGGAACATCCGGCCCGCAGGCCACCTAAGGCCTAGCATCACACACCTCACCAAAGAGAAGCAGTTCCAGCCATCACATTAGGGGTGAGTTAATTAAATGTTTGACCAAATACAGCAGACTAATTTTTAAGCTGATAATTCTGTATGGCTCCTGAAAGATGTTATAAATATCCAAATGACCATTGGCAGAAAAAGGTTCCCCACTCCTGCTATAAAGAAAGCTAAGCCCTGGGCCTATTTGGCTCAGCAGTTAGAGCGTCGGCCCATGGACCAGAGAGTCCCAGGTTCCCACTAAGGGCACATACGTCAGTTGCAGTTTGTCCCTGGCGCCGGTTGGGGTCGTGTGGATGGCAAACACTCAAAGTGTCTCTCTCACATCGATATTTCTCTCTGTCTGTCTTCCTCCGCCCCCCCCCCCCCCCCGGGCTCTACCTGAAGATAAATGCAAAAATGTCCTTGGGTAAGGATAAAAAAAAAAACCAGAAAGAAATAGAAAGCTAAAATCTCCATTATTATATTGCAATGAATTTCAGGAAAGTATCCTTAAAAACAGGTAGAGAATTGAGTGAAATGTTGGAAAGAACTACTGATTATTTGTAAGAAAGACCTAGCAATGTTCAAAACACAAATCACCCTAAACAGTGGAGTTAACAACAGAAGTAGTAGAGAGGGATATACCATACTGTCAGAGCTCATAGACACTTCCCAGGTAAAATCATCATGATCTTATACTGAATTAAAATAGATTTGACTTTATGACTTAATCCCTTTGCTTTTCTCATCTTCAGTTTTATCATCAGAAAAATTGAAGATAATAATACCTATTGTCAGGGTTGTTCAAAGTATCTACCCTAAAGTAAAAATTCAGAAAATTGCAATTATTAGTATATCATCATCATTCAACAATCCATGACCTGTATTCTAAATCTACACATATTATCTGAAAAATTCGTGCTGGCTTGCTTCTTAAATGGTAGCTCCTTATTCATAATAAATTGTTTTTAACCTTTTTTTTTTCAGTGAATCTCTTCAGAAAAAGTTTATTTTTAAAACAATTCCTTTTGTGAATATAAATTCATAAGGACCAGGTCTTGGAAATGATTACATCCATATGAACCTAAAGCTTCCTGAGAGTTCCTTCTTTGAATTTTCTACCTACCATAAGAAGCTCTACAATGACAATAGTATGAGGAAGGTACAAGGTGAGATGGTAAAAATGTATTTTTCATGTACATCTATATGCAAGATCAGTCCAAAAAAGGTTCATGATCTCACAAATGTGGACAAAATAGGAAAGTATACTTGAAAATAATAACATTCTAAAACAATTACTATTACCAGTAGTTTTTTACAAACAAATTTCATAAAGACCAATGGAAAAAAATTAATAATGAAATGACAAGGCAAAATAATTACCAAAAAAAGTAAATAATAACTGAATACCCTAACAAAAATTTTTAAATCTATTGATGGGAGTAAAAAAACATTTATTATATATTCAACTCTATGGAAGGTTGGCTGAATAATGGTCCCCTGAAGATGACCACATCCTCATCCCCAGAAGCTGTGAATATTTTACCTTACATGGCAAAGGGGACTTTTCAGACAGGATTAAATTGAGGATGTTGAGATGAGGGAGTACCCTGGATTATCCAGGTGGTCCCTGTAAATATAATCATAAGCATCTGATAAAAGAGAAGAGGGGTAACGTCAGAAAAGGCAATGTGACAGCAAAAAAAGGAGAAAAAGCACTTGATGAGTGGCCACGAGCCAAGGAAAGAGGAGAACCTCTAGGAGCTAGAAGAAGAAAAGGCGGTTCTTCCCAAGAGCTATCGGAAGAAATCAACAGCATCATTTTAGGCCCATAGGACTCATTTCTAACTTTTGTTCTCCAGAAAAAAAAAGAATAAATTACTGTTGTTTTAAGTTACCAAGTTTGTGGAAATTTATTATAGCAGCTAAAGGAAATTAATATAAACCCTAATCAAGACCATACCCATTTTCTGTTCATTTTAAGTAGTTGAACTGGAAGGGTTCCTATGGTGGGGCAGTGGCCAGTAGCAACTAAAACTATACCTTTTAAGAAAAATAAAATTGAAGTCTAAAGCATTATCCAACCAGAAAAAAAAAAAAATGACTGTGAGTTCAATAAAGAATGTGAATAAATTAGTTTTAGCATCATTAAATATTAGATGAATGAAGGAAAAAATTAAATTATTATAGAAAGTTCAAATTAAAAGATTTTGTCATATATATTATACAGTGTAGAGAAAGAGCTCTATTTTTAAACTTCTTATGGTGTTTACAATCTCTATGTATGACTATTATTTCACCTTTATTTTACCCTGGATTTAAATAAGATCTTCCAAAATGGTCAAAACAAGGGAGAAGAGATATATTTTCAACAAATAGTGCTAGAACAACAGGACTTTCATATGCAAAAAGAAAAAAAGAATCTAGACACAAAAATTACACAATTCATAAAAATTAACTCATATGGATCACAAAAAAACAATAAAATGCCTAGAGGATAACATAGGACAAACTCTAGATGACCTTGCATATGGTGATGATTTTTTAGGTACAACACTAAAGACACAATCCATGAAAGAAATAATTGAGAACCTTTAATTTCAAAATTAAAAACTTCAGCTCTGTGAAAGAACATCAAGAGAATGAGAAGAGAAGCCATAGGAAGAAAATGATTTGCACAAGACACGTCTGAGAAAGGACTGTTATCCAAAATATACAAAGAACTCTTACATGTCAACAATAAAAAAGCAACCCATTAAAATAGTGGGCCAGAGACCTAAACAAAACAAAACAAAAAAGACATCTAAACAAAAAAGATATACAGATGGCAAATAAGCACATAAATAGATGCTACACATCATATGTCATCAGGGAAACACAAATTAAAGCAAGAACGAAATACCAATGCACATTTACGAGAATGACCAAGTTCCAGAACAGTGACTACACCAAATGCTGGAGAGGACGTGGAGAAACAGGAACTCTCATTCATTGCTGTTGGGAAAACAAAAGAGCACAGCCACTTTGGAAGGCAGCTCAGCAGTTTTCTATATAACTAAACCTCCTCTTGCCATATGATCCAGCAATCACAACTCCTTGGTATTTACTCAAAGGAGCTGAAAACTTATGTCACACAAAAGCCTACACACAGATGTTTATAGCAGCTTTATTCATAACTGCCAAAACTTGGAAGCAAGCAAGATGTCCTCTAGTAGGTGAATGGATAAACTATGGTACATGTAGATATGGAATATTGTTCTGGGCTCAAAAGAAATAAGCTACCAAGCCATGAAAAGATATGGAGGAACCTTAAATGCATATTACTAAGTGAAATAAACCAATCTAAAAAGGCTACATAATGTAAGATTCTAACTATGTCACATTCTGGAAAAGCCAAAACTATACAGACAGTGGTTTCCAGCAGCTGGGAATGGGGGGAGGGATAAGTATGTGGAGAATATTTTTAGTGAAAAATATTCTGTATTACACCATAATGATGATTAAATGTCATTACACATTTGTTTAAACACACAGAATAAACACCACCAAAAGTGAAACCTAATGTAAGCTATGAACTTTGGGTGATAAAGATGTGTTACTGTAGGTTCATCAATTGTATGGCAACCCTAGGAAACTAACTTACATACCACGGAATACTACTTTACAGTTAAAAGGAATGAAAGTTCCTGGGTCAATCTCCAGAGAATTATGATGTAAAAAGCTAATCTCAAAAGGTTATATTCAGTGAGATTTCATTTATATAATATTCTTTAAAAGACAAAATTGTAGAAAATGAGAACAGATTAAGGGATGCTAGAGGTTAAGAAGGGGGTGGAAGATAAAAGCAGTATAGCTACAAAAGTGGGAATCCTTGCAGTGGTGGAATCCAAGTCATGATTATATCAAAGTTAATATCA